GAAGGGATTTTTCCTTAGACCCCCCCACCTCTCTGGAAATTCCAGTCAAGCTTCATACATTTACTTAAATTTTGGGGCCCTTGAGAACCCCCCACCTCCCGGGAATTTCCAATCCCTTCCATGGGGGGAGTATGGATATTTTCTGGAACTGCACATTAATTGTCATTCTAGTGCAAGTATGAAGTTGGGTCTTTTCATGGTCCACATTCTATAAGGATCACACTAGAACCAAGTGTCTTTAGAACAGTGTCTACCTTTAAGCTGAATGACAGGGATCCATTCACGGATTGCAAATTGGGGAAGTGGCCATCTTTTAGAGATGTCCATTAACATAGAGTTGACTGTACTCATCAGTTTAGAAACATTTATAATCTGATACCCATGAGAATGGTATAGTCATATTTTTATACAACGTTCTCTTACCAAGAAGACAAACCAATTAACTTGTACACTGTAGTTCTTGATCATTTTAAGGCTGTGCTTTTCAGGAAAAACCTTAAAAGGAAAGGGTTAATGATACCTGTAAACATCCTTCACATAAAAAAGTTAGTGGCATTCAATGGGAATCAATAGTTTGGAGAAAAAAATAACATTTTCCATTTTTTATAGTTATCTATATTTACACTATAATGGTACATAAATTATTCTATTTATTCTAGACCACTTTCTTATTAAATAACATTTTACTAGGAACCTTTTGCATAATGTCAGAATCATTGGAGATGTAGTAATAATGGAGGTGTCCTGCACAATTTCCTACAAGGTGCATGTATTTCAGTAGTACAGTTTAAACTCCAGTTGAGATAAATATTATTGTTAATGGTACATACAGTATGTATTCTTCAAGACTGTGAGATGCAGTTATTTATTTGACTTCAAGCATAAGTACCTGGTAAAATTCCAGTCCTTGGTTTGTAATAAAAACAATTTCATTCAGGTTAGTCCAGTGAAAGCCAATAACATGAGCAGACTTGCTCTGTTAAACAAAAGAACATCATTCTGTAAGACTTAGCTTACAGGTAAAGATCAAGTATTTTTTTTTAGACAATTTCTGTCAAGGGAACTCACATGGTAGTAGCATTCCATACACTATAAAAATCATTAGTTGTTATGTCTTTCACCCTCAGGTATCGCACAGGAACAAGTCAACACAGATTACAGCATTAAAAAAAACTCAAGCTTTTCACAACAACAACAAATAATAGTCATACAATTTTTGGGATGAAGGTGAGTCCTCCAACAGTATCTTTACTTGGTGCATTTGTGATCAATATAATAGACAAAATACACCAAATTTCCATTATCAATGCTCGTATAGATCACAGAATCTGATGATACAGGTCAAAATTAAATTCAGGTTAAAATTGTTTAACCTATTGATTAGGTTGATTCTCAATTAATTTTCCTGTGCCTCCTAGCCCTTATTCTTCGTGAATTAGGGCTAGGAGACAAACTGAATTGAGAATCAACCTACTCAGTAGGTTAAACAATTTTAACCTGATACACAGACATAATGTCAACATGTAACTCAAGTGGAACACTAGTAAACCATGCAGAGTTTTCCTTGATCTATAAGAGTGCAGAAATTGGAAAATTAAGGTCACTTTATTTTTTATTATATCACTGTAACTCTTGACTATGAAGTATGTGAGAACTTTAGCATCACTTATTGTAAAGGCATTGCTAACTCCTTACAAAAGTATTGATCTGTGAGAAATTTTTGTGCATGTCACAACAGGAACTGAATGTGTGCATGGCAGCAATGCTATTAAAAGTTTTATGCAAATCCTCACCTTGCATGTCTGGCTGTACTGATGACTATCATTCCCTTCAGCAAAGTTAATAAACTCCTGCATGCACAAAAAAGAACTTGTAAAAAAAGTTGTTCATTGTGATTCTGCCCTTCAGGCCCTAGTTGTCCAAAAGATGGATAGTGCTGTCCACCAGGCCTTAGTTGTTCAATAATAATCATAATAAACTTCATTTTTCGAGGGTGGCACTTGACAATACAAAATACTGATAAACTCGTGGCCCTCAAAAGGTGGTTAATGCTATCCACTATAAATCACTATCCACTGGATGGCACAATTGGTTTCCTTAACGCTTATCCATTGAATAGTGATTTATCTGGTGTATAGCACTATCCAACGTTTGAACAACTGGGGCCGAATAAACCACTGTCCAGTGGATAACCTACAGTGTAACACTGGTTTCCCTAATAGTTATCCACTGGATAGAGGTATCGACCAGGCCCTGGTTGTTCAAACATTGGATAGCACTATCCAATGGATCAATCAGTATGCAGCAGATAAGTGTTAGGGAAATTAATTGCACTATCCAGTGGATAGTGATTTATCCACTGGAAAGCACTATCCACCTTTCAAACAATAGGGCCCAGATATAATGTAAATCACTATCCAGTGGATAAGTATTAGGGAAACCAGTTGCATTTATTGCTTTCTATGGTCTATGCTCTTAAAGACCATAGAAATGACATCAAAATGTTGCCACAGGCTCCATAGGAGAGAATGGATATTTAGTGGAAAAACAAATTCAGGCCTCTCCTTACCACGACTTTCAGTGATCTCTGAATTGCCAGTATCTTGCGATCATAAGAAAATTTGATGGACTGGACATGGCCTACAGATGGTATACTGAAAAAACAAATGTATTATGTGTTTTTCTGTTTAGAAGGGTATGGGTCAGGGGGTTAGGGAAAGTTTGCTTGTGACTTTTTCTCCATAGCTCAACTGCAGAAAATACTGTCACATTGACTAATGTCTGTGTAACCGGCTAAATGGTGCACAGAAACCAGTTGCAGCCATGTATTCTTTGTTCATAACACATCCTGGTTGCACAGAACAAAGCAATGCACACCATGTACTGTTTAGCTAGCACACACAGTAATATGAATTCTACTGAAATCCTGTGTCATTGAAATTTGAAAGCTGATAATAATTGAAACAACTTCTTCATGTCAAGAATTTCTCTATTGTACACACTGGCCTTCACAAAATCAATGGTAATAATATTTATACCATAAGTTCCCCTTTTGTTGATTATCCTGCTAAGTGATTCTCATAGCATGCAATAAGAGTCATGTAACACGCACAACAAAACATGACTGGTGACTTGCTTTTTAGCGATACTACTAGTGAGTAACAAATTATTCATGAGTTTTTCAATGCGTAGCACATAGCCCATAACCCAACATGCCATCTCTCCTAAAATATTCATTGCATTTGTTGTAGCCAGCTTCTAAGACATCTCCTTTAATTTTCTAGTATAATCTTACAAATATTAATGTACTGGATACCCTTTCTATACCAACACCTGCATAGTGGATTGTTTCATTTGTCTCGGTGAAAATCTAATACATTTTCTCTAAAATTAACTCCCTTAATTTGGACACCGGTTAATACAGGTAACACACACTTTTCTCTTGTCTCGAGTCACAAACACCCTTATATCATAGACACTGGTTGCCTGTGCACTGTCTACAGTGGTTTAAATTTCCTTGTCATAATCATGTGCTGATTGAAGACATTGTACCCTTCTCACATGATAAGGGATTTCCATGGATTAATATGACTTTATTGCTTAAAAACAGAAGCAAAATAGCATGACAGATTTGATTCTGAGAAGGACATCTTTCTTCCCGTGTTTGGCCCTTGTCAGTAGCTGCCTTGGTGCTGTAGACCTTTACTAAAGTTTCCTGTCGCCTACAACACAAGGTTTCATTTCCTTGGCTTTTTTCTGCAAACACTGCTCCTATACCCTTCTTTCTCTTTGCCTGCTTTAGTCTTAATGTCCATAAAACATGTGTTTGTAACCATTTTTTCCGAGAGCCAACTTAATATGGACACATAAATAGCACAGATATCATGGCATGTCCTCTTAGTGTTTGTTTGTATAACTATAACCAGGTTTCATCGTATTTAACTGCATAGCATTTACCAACAACCAATTTTTTTCAGTAATCCAGTAGAAATAGCATATTTGTACACATACATTCTATTTAAAGCATTTTTGATCGGGAGTGAGGGCATGTGATGGATTACTGTGCAGTAGTTGATTTCCTTTATGGCGGGATGGTCACAAATGGAAATTAAATGAATCATGCTTTATAAATACCATATTAGTAGCATCTGCAACATACTTGAAAATGACGAGAGATTTGACATCAGGACCTCTCACAACTACACGAGTTTTTCCTACATTTATTATATATATATGCATCCAGCAATTTCATACTATTTCACACAAATAGCTGATACAAATAGAGTCGAAAGATATATGCATGATAAATGTATGAGGTTGTACGGAAATCTCTCCCACAAGTCTTCTTGTAGGTTTCAACTGTGAAATGTGTATGTGTGCATGTGAGCTCATCTTCATACCTGCCTATTCGCCTCGTCAAAAAATACGCTGTTTTCCTTGGAGACAGGCTCAAATCGTAGTGGATTAGGGCAAAGCTGCACATAATGGCCCGACATCTTTACTTCCTCTCCGATTCTAGATAATGAAGAGAGATATCTTTGCACACTGTCTGACACTTCGGTGTCAAGCGCTGCACATTTTACCAAACTTTCCGCGCTTCCATAATATAATGCTTCCACTTTTACGACATTCTTTACGTATAAAACTTGCATATAAGCAGACCAAGCTTTGATTAGGACGAAACTGTCACTGAACAAAAGGCAAAATCGCAATGGAAAAAACCTCTATACGAGGCTGCCATATTGGTTTTTCGTCTGCCGATCAAAGTATCAATTCTTATTATGTCTCAGCTCAAAATAGGAGAAATTACTTCACAATCAGATATTAATATGGTCACGTGATATAAATTACCCCGCGCAGTGGGCGGGAGTAGTGGTATTAAAAAGGAATTTCAGCTGAGAAGTTGCATTAACGTCCTGTTTGTGTTACTTACATTTTGCACTCGCGAAAGATCTGAGCCCTGAATTTAGCTGAGAAAGAAGCAGCAAAGGCACTTCATTATGGATCCCAGATACGGTAGTCCGAGAGCTGTTGACGCCATAGATCCCACGTCCTCGTACGATGCATGGCCTACGTTACCTTCTACGCGACCTGAAAGTCGTAGATGTCGCCTCAGTCCCTGCTGTAGACGCTTATCATGGACTGCTGTTAGCATTTTGGAGATCGTGCTTATGATTTTAACGGTTGTCTTTTACTTCTTCTTGCCGAAAACATATTTAACTCAAATTCTTCCCGCTGCCACAGGAGAACAGTCTGAAATTAACGAGTTTTCGGAATGGATCTTGCGGATGTTTGCAAGCATGGTTTGCGTTCAGGTTAGCAAAGTAAACAGCTCAATCTATCTGAAATTTAACACAGACTTACGTGTTTTTTAGAGTAACGAATGATGAGTTGTTCACTTTATCATTTACTTCTTATATTTGTAACTCGTACTGATGTACATGCAATTAACAAGTGCCTGAATTGCAAATTATTAATAGTTAATAATGGTTATTGCAAAAGCTTTAGATCGTCCTTTTCGAAACTAAAAGTCACTTAAATCGCTGGTTTCGCATCCTTTATTTCAGTGAACATGCTAATACGTTTTCATTTTTAACATTTTTTTTATCAGGATTGTGGGATAAATAGTTTGGAAGGTTGCTTGTCCCAAGTTTATATTTGTTTTGCTTTGTTGTTGCAAGTTGATACTCTAGAAATAACTTGTCAAAAGCTATTTCTGTATTGCTACTCTTCCTCACGATTCACTCGTGACTTAATCATTGGAGTAACTATAGTAAATTGCAAGTGAAGTTATCTACTCATGTGATCACTTACGTTAAGTGAAAAACATGTTTTTTTAACTGAAGTGTTGATAGATGACCTAGCTGGGAGGTCAGGGGTGGATCCAGGATTTTTTTAGGAGGGGGTGCACTCATCTCCTGCTCTACTTCAACACCAATAAACCACATAGTTTTTTTTTGCAGAATACCAGTTGTATTAGAAAACAGCAGGTCATCTCAGGGGGGGTGCGCATCCCCTGCAGCCTCCCCCTAGATCCGCCCCTGGAGGTGGTTGACCCCTTGTGTGCTGTGGCTTTTCTTTTTGTTGGATGTATTGTGATTCTTCAACTCCTTTATCGTTAAAAAATTATTATCAAGGAGATGCTTGGAAAAATGCCTTAAGGAGTAATTGCAGAATACCCGCCCACTCAAAAGCTGGACCCAAAGAACGTAGTGGGCTTAAAGATTGATGCATTAAAGAAGTGGCTATGTGGCCACATGGCTATGAAGGTACATAGCGTAATGGCTTATCGAGCATAGCCGCGTAGCTGCTGTTTTTGCCAGGTATTCTCTGCAGTTAAACCAGATTTTGAGAAACTGCTTGATTCTCCTTCGAAATTGTGTTGTAATTTTGTTGTGAAACAAAAGGATGTTTTGACATTGCAACAACAGCTTCTTACTCAACACATACCCTAATTAATGAAGATAAAACTAAGGAAATAAGGAGATGCCCTCCCCTTGATCCTCCACAGTTAACATGAGTAATATTGTTCATCATTATCTTATAATTCTCAATGAATATCAGTGCAAAGGAATACAGTTATTAGTTGTTTTTTTTCCCACAATTTTTAACTATTTTACTGTTTCAGATTACTCTTCTCATCGCTGGCATTGGTTGGGGAGACACCACAAGCCGGAAAATCATCTACTGGGGAATGTTGACTGGCGACATTCTACTAATTGCAATCCAATCAGCATTTGTGCGCAGCATGTCAGAGTGGCATGGCGTTAATATTGCAATTGTTACAGTGGCCTCAGCATTTGGATTATTTAGAATAATCACCTTAATCTTCAATCCAAGTTGGTGGCTGTGGGTTCCAGAACCTAACTTTTGAGTGATTGCGATATGTTAAGTGCTGAAAATTGTGTTAAAAGGAGACTTTTTGCAACAATCTGCAGCAAAATTGGGATGTTACTTTCATCCAACACTTTGTTTCCTCACCCCTACTCCCAATGCAACATTTTGTCATATTTATGGAAGGGATAGAGGGGGCAGATCTTGTTAATCATTCATTTTATGTTGAGAGTGTGAAAAGAAGCCAATATTCTTGGATAGGACAAAGTGTTTCCACTCACTTTCGTGCCAAAATATGTTGCAAAAAGAACACGAGTTATGCAGAGGAGGAAGACTAAATTTTTTGTAATTGAGGTAGAAAATGATATTTCGAAATTATGTCAGTTATGTAGATGAAAGAAAACTGAGAAAGACTTAACTGAGTTTCATGTTGTAAAAATGAAGACTATCTGTAGTTAGATGGTTAAATAATTCAAAGGATGAAACACAGTGGCATTTTTTGCATTTAATATTTTAAAAAGCGGATTGAGTAATATTTAAATTTGGATAAATTTAGGAGTGTCTAATTATTTAGAACTCCATCTGTTATTTTCCTTTCAAATGACTAGCAGTGTGACTAATACTATTACCAATTCCATATCACTATAAAATCACTATTGTTTCATTTATTTTCTATATATTTTTAATTATATTCTTTTGTAAATGAGTTCCGGAAAGATGTATTGTTCTGTTACTGTGGTGCTTAGGAAGCAGGTAGAAGTTAAAACTCATTTACAAAAAATGGTTTTCAGCATGATGTTAATCAATAATAAAAATTGTATCTTCTATATAAATATTGAATGAACCAACTTGTGTATGCAGACTGTTTCTCTCATTTTTTCTTTTGTGCTGCAGTACCCCACTGGGGGTATTCTCCCAAAATCCCCATATGATAATGACTCCCCCGCCCCCCCCCAAACTTTTTTTGTGCCCTCAAACGGATTATGCTTTTTGGACTCAGATCTAGTACAGGGTATCTAATTTAATCAAGTCATTCTAGAACTGGGAAGAATCAGGAACCCACAACAGCTTAAAGTTATTGTCCATAGAGATGTTCTCATTTTGTTATGAAGGAGAGGCTTTTGGAAATTTACCTATTTCCACAAGGGGGAAGCATTTTAAAAAAAATTTGTTCCTAACATCCTGTGCTAAATTGAAAACCTGGGCATCACATGCCTACTAGAAACCTACCTAAGTACCCCCCCCCCCTAGAAGCCCGCACCCCTCCGCATAAAGGAAGTGAAACTTGGCCTCACCGTTTTTCCACCCTACAGATACAGCTAGGCTGTTCACTCTAACACTATAGCTCCAAACATCAAAATTACTCTATCTGAAGCCTTCCATTTCAAAGTCTTTTTGTTGCAGAAAGGAGGGCTACAACGACAACGATTAGTTTTTCAGTGTGGTTGTAAGTGTAGTCTCCCTCGCAGCGGCCGTTTTTTGGCATGTCACGCAACGTTCTAACGTTGCGTGACATACCAAAAAACGGCCGCTTTCCTTTCATCTGCCCCTCGCGGCTTCGCCGCTCGCTCGCGCGCTCTCGCGAGACTCGTTGTTTCATTCGCCCAAATAGGAGAGCTTGCTCGCAGGCTAGTCTACGGTAAGTGACGCCTACTTAAAAAAAACCCTTAAATTTGACCACTTCCATTCAGGAAGACCGTGTTTTCACGGCAGGTAAAAAGTGTCCTCTTTAGTACAAAGACTAAGACCAATCTCTTTAAAAGCTAAGGCTTAAGTAACAAATGCAAGGTTCACTTGCCCTCGTTTCTTGCATATGAGAGCACTGTTAAAATAGCCCCCTTGCTAACTTACTGTCTTAAAAGAAAATAATACTGTTGTTTGTTGTCTAATTCAGGGACCTAGCCTAGGGGTTCACAGTAGACTGTGTACAAACGTCCCCCTCCCCTCAGAAAAAATACAGGAGAGGGATTCTGTTCCCCCGATTCTTCTGAGGGGAGGGGGGCGTCTGTACACATGCTAGGTTCACAGCATCGGAATTGAATCGATATATTTTTTCAATTCCACGAGTCCTCAAATTCGTTTTGAAGTCAAATTTGTTCCGATTCACTTTGTGAATAAGAGAGATGCGTGACCTGCAGCTGTCACGGGTGTTGCCTCTGAGACGAGTGTAGACTTTTTGTGACGCGTTTTGTAGAAGTTGGGATGAAGTTGTCTCTGTGACGAAAGTTGTCCCTCCCTGTGACGGGTGCTGTCCCTGTGCCCATTGTTGTTTTTCTGATCATTACAGTCAAAGACTGCAGTCACTCGAACGGCCCTTGTACTGTTTACTATCTTCATACTTCAGTCATTAAAGGGGCGAATCCAGAGTGAAATTAGAAAAAGGGATGTTACCACATCGGCTAAGGCATTTCACAGCAAGGGTAACGTCCTTAAAGGATGAGTACATGATGTGTAAAGCCAGTGTAACACTCGTTCTTCAGAAGATAATTGACGATAACGGACAAAAATTCTCGGTTTTGGTTTCTTTCGTTGAAAAACGCCAGGAACAAGTGAAATACTTCCGCTGTCTGTGGTTTGGCTGTGCAAAGTAGACATACTTGGTGTGCCATCTTTGGTCGACATTCCGAGAGAATGAGTTCCCGTCGAAACCCCTCTTGGGGTCAACACTGATGCACTAGCAACGCGATAGTTCCTTTCTAATAATGAAGTTTTAAACGGCGTTTCCGTCGTCCTCAGATAAGTGGCAGATAACTTTGTTTGTGTTGTTCTTGTAAAGATGTATCCTTTGTGATCTTGGGTGTGCTGAAGTGCTCTAGAAACTCGTGTAGGAAGAGCATTTATATCTGTCTTGACACGGTATAAAGGTAGAACACAAACAGAGTTTGGACGCGATTTCACCTCCGGCATAATACCTGCCTTAGACATGGCAGATGTCGTAATATGTTTGACGAACTGAGCTTCCTGTTAACATACTGCAGTAAAATTCATCGGGAATATTCTGTCCGATCTTGCAAGCATCCAGTTGTCTGTATCGCCTAATATAAGTTGCTTGGTTGATTTTCGTCTTTCGCTTTCGGACAGTTTATATTTCACGCAATGGTCATCTAGGTATCTTTCCACCCACTAAACACGTTTTCTACGAGTGCTGAGCAAGAACTATATATGATCCTATATCAGCGCGCGAGGAATTTTGTTTGATTGTTTATGCACTGAAATTAAAGCCATCAACATAATTATTATACCCTCCGTCTTATTGACTTTTGTAATACATGCATTGTTCTGTGATTTGGCACATGACGGGTTGCTAAGGGAGATCACAATAGCTAGTTAATTAATGCCTTTAGTGAATGAAAGTCCTTTTATTGTGGCAGTCATTATGTACAAAGATTAATCGATCGCAACATAGAGCAGACTAGATCACAACGTAGAGAAAGTACAAAATATTATATTTTTTCGATGTGCATTGAGTAAATTTTATTTAGAAATTGTGTGCTTATGTGACGTTTCTTCCATTTCCTTTTCAATTCGGCCCATTGCCATTGTGCCAACTGTCAGTAGACCGTGTAAAATTAAATCCTGTTAAATGAAGAACAAAAACGCATCTTATTCAGGGGCACCCAGCGGCAATTTTCGGAAAATATCTGTTCGGAAGACGATTTGAGATCTATAATTTTCCGAACATTTGTTGTAAAATTTCTTGCTTGTCTGCCTCTCCTAGGATTTTCGAACATCTACAAAATGGTATAATTACCCATTTTTAACGAATTTTTACCCTAAAAGAGGCCACCTAGAATTTTCGGGAGCCTTTTCCCGGCTAAAATTTTCGAAAAGGTAAGTTTTGATCCCTATAATTTTCGGATAACTAGACTTTCAGCTAGGAAATCCGAACAGGTGAAAAGTTTTTAGGGGATAAAAATATGCCTGTGTCTACCGTTTAAATACTAAAATACGTTCAGCAATGTTATGTTAAGTGGTTTTGAACTATATCCTCGTTGGGTGCCCCTGCTTGTTATCCTTATTAGCAAAGAAAGAGGACTGCAAGGAACGTTATTAAAAAGGGGATTGAAACTGAAACTGGACATACTGTACCTCGCTTTCCCTTCTCTTTAGCGAACCGAGAGACCCTGGAAACGAGGCTGGCTTTTCCCTCTTCTGTGTCAACGTTGTATCCCCCCTTTCCCCAAATCAAGGATGGGAAAATGGTGCGTTTTGGGGTTTGCGCGGCTTCATCCTTGATGG